CCGCCCCCCCCGCCAGAGTCCAGGCTTGTGTGCCTGGACTCCAGCTTTAAAAACAGAATGCTACATTGATGCAGAAACTCTGGAAATCCTATCCTTTGGCAAGTAAAGCATTAAGTAATTCCACTTTATTTTGCCATCTGAATTGTGTTCCCCATTAAAAGCATGCTGCAAGACATACTGTACCTGCAATTGCCTTAAAAGATAAGTGCAGGCAGCTCTTCTCATAATTTTTACTGTCAGGGGCAGTTTTACCAGTCTGGTAGATCACTTTCTAGTCCGTGCAAACGGAACACATTCAGCTTTCATAATTACCATATTTTGTGTTCCATAAGACGCAGGGAGGTCCGGTGCGCCTTATGGAGCACTTAACAGACCGTAGCTTCTGTCACAGCTTCTGTGACAGAAGCTGCAGTTAGTGACTGTCTCAGTTATCACACAGAGCAGACGAAGAACGGCCGTTCTTAAGGTGGCCATACACTTTACAACCCTCGCAAGACCTCAGTCTTGCGAGGGTTGTAAAGTAATTTAAAAAAACGTACGATCTGCCCATCTTGGACAGGCAGATCGTACTTGCGATCCAATGACTGCAATGCTGAACGGGTAGTGTGCGCGTGCGCACACCGGCCCGTTCGGCATTTGTCTCCCGAGCACCGGTCAAACTGGTTTTCAAGCATGCTCCTTAGACAAAAGACGTGCGACCGTAAAGTAGAAACGGTCGCACGTCTTCATTCACACTGCTCGATTCTCGTACGATCGCGGGATTTCCCACGATTCACATACGAGAATCGTGCAGTGTATGGGCACCTTCAGTCTGCTCTATGGTGATCTTGATCACCGCCGCTGCTCAGTTTTAATACAAGTGGTCTAATCATATCACTTGTATTAAACAGGCAGTGGCTCCAACTGTACATTTAGCTCTGCTTTAGCAGGGCTAAATGTACAAAAAAACTACTCGCCCGGCGCCCGAAACTGCATGTCTCGGGCGTCGGGATTCGCTCCATAAGACGCAGGCACATTTTGCCCCTCCTTTCGGGGGGGAAAAAAGTGCGTCTTATGGAGCGAAAAATATGTCCATTGCAGCTACAGTAATAAAACCTTTCCTGTGCGATCAAGGTCCATCTCACAGCGAGGAAACTGACAACTCACTTTAGTTTCCCGGAGCAGAAACTGCAGATCCCGTCCACTCAAGATCCCATGATTCTTCACATAATGGGGCATGTGGACCATGCCCTTCTCGTGGACAGTGCCGTGTACCTCCATGTAGGTGTGGATGATGTCCAAATACGTGTTCTTGTCCTGTGAAAAAAAAAGACAGCACTAGATAAGTACATGTAAATGAGGTGACTGCACAATTCCACCCCAGATGGCAGTTGAGGGCCACCAGAACAGCACGAGAGCATCGTGACTAGTAATGTAACAAGCGATTGTGGGTAAAAAGCAGAGGAGGCGGCATTCATTGAATGTTGCTTCAATTGGTTTTATTCTTATAAAAATAAGAAAAAAAAGCGGACAAAGCACCTTGTCCTTGTAAAATATGCATTTGTATATTCTAATAGTCTTAAATGAAAGGTACTGAAGAATATACTGTTTCATGCCAAGGTGAAAACAGATCTAAGCAAAGTAAATTGCAGTTCAACAATACCTGACTGCATAAGTATACACACCAGTGACAAAGTCTACTGTGATTCAGGATCAGTTTTCCCTGGCCTACTCACTACTCCATTCCCCTTAGTGTATCTAAACCTGAGAACATACATGTAATATACTGCAAGCTGCATTACATTATTTGTTATTGGGTTTAGATATACTTTAAGCTTCCCTCCATATGGTCCAGCCACTAAGCCACCAGGCTGACTAATCTCTGCATTCATTCTTTTCTGCGGAGGTCTGGGTGGACGGATGGATAGATAGATAGGATATACCATATGGGTTTGGTTAAACTGCAGACAATTACTCTTAAGGTGACCTCCAATCAAGGTTGAGGAGGATTTAAATGGGGGGAAAATATATTGTAAATATATATACACAACGAGATAATCAATATTACTCACGTCACCTCACAGTGGTCATAATGTTATGTCTGATCGGTATGTATAAATTTACACACACACAAACTTGTTTCCTTGTATTGAGCCTGCATTGATCAATGCAACTACAGTAGTGTGAACTTATGTGCAAGACCGGTCTGTCACCTGTACTGAGCAGTCAGATTCTCCGGTGGAAATCTGGCAGTACTTTAAAAGCAAACTCAGTCGATTTATATTTCACACAGATAAATGAAGCCCTTGTAGTGCACACAAGGCTTTTAGGTTCTGATCTTTTCTCCTGGTCAGCATGTCATTGCCACTGAAGCATCCACATGGACCAGACAGAGCTATTGCCTTATTAAAGTGTACCTTTACCTTAAGCCAATACTTTTTTTTTTTTAATTGAGCAGGGAAGGGTTAAAACTCCCGCCAGGTTTCTCCTGCAATCCATAACTCTGTTGGGGAGATTTAGGGTGGCCATAGACTGCGAACTTCAGGCGGTTCTTGCGGATCCGGTTGAAGTTTGCACAGTGGGTGCTGTACCCTTTTGGCCAGCATCCCTCGATCAGCCTATCGAAGGAGCCTTTGTACAAACAGAGGCGGCTCCGTTAGGGTATTGAGACATTGGCCGGCGGCTGCTGTCCAAATACAAAAGAGACAGCGTGGGCTCCCCAATTAACACGCTCATAGCATTGGAGGAATCTGCTCCATTTTTATCGTTCAGCCTGCGGGTTAAACAAAATCAATAAATAAGCAAGGGTGAAGCTCTCCATACACTGTCTCTTTTCTTGCCAATGGTCTCACCAGACAGGGGGAACAATCTAGATTAACTCTCACTTCTGTGTCACTCTTGCAAAGGAGCCCTGGATTGCAGTAAAAATCTAATGTGTTCCAACCCTTTCCCACTCTACCCACAACTGGACATGCACTTTAAATGCCAGCACCTTGGATGTCACTGCAGCCTTGCAGGGCCGAGATGCGGCATCGGCTGTTTTCTCAGTGGCTGTGCAGCAGCTGCCTCCAATAATACGGAGGATTTATGACATGTGGAATGATTTTTGGATAGAGGTTGTAAACTGCTTAAGCCACTGGAAACCACTTGTGCGATTTACGGCTTGCCTCTGCCAGAGCTTTTGGTAAGAGTAATATTTAAACAGAGCCTTTGTGAACGCCCACGGGCTGGTTAAACATTTGAATGCTGCCATGATGTTTTTATATTAAAGTACGTTCGCCTCTGTCACATTTCCAGCGTGTAACAGGTTTAACAGGCATAACTTCGGCAGGATTTTAAATGCTTGGAGTAAACAAGGGTGAAGCTAGTCCAAAACCAATATGGCAATTATATACGATGACAATTATATTGTAAGTAAATTGTTATAAGTTCAAGTTGGATTTGTGCCGAGAGACTTGTAGCCATTCTTTAATGTTTCAGTCTAGACGCTGGCCTATCTTGGACGGCATTGTTGCTGTTGCTGAGAGCAGACAGCTTTTTAGTTGCTAAAAAACTCTTTAAGAGTATGTTATTCCACTTAGGTGGCACAGGTCCCCTGGTGAACCTGCCCTAACAGGATTCCATGAAGCCGCTAGCGCTTGGATGACAGTGGCTGGACAGTGTTGTAATGCAAAAAATCCAAGGAGAGTGAAAATCAAAAATTTAAATAAAAACGTTTTTTTTTTTTTTTTACACCAATTAATTAAAGTTCATCTTCAAGGCTGCAGATTAGCATGGAACCATCGCACATGAAATAGATAAGGATAGGGAGAAGTAAAATCACATAATGGTAGTTAGCACTTCCGCCTTGCAGCACTGGGGGTCCCCAGTTCTGGTTCCAAACAGGAAACTATCTGCAAAGTTTGCATGTCCTCCTTGTGCTGGTGTGGGTTTCCTCCCAGACATGCTGAAAGGTTAGTTGGCTCCTGTCTAAAATGGGCACTGGTATGTGTGATAGGTAAATTAGATTATTGTAAGATCCTTCAGGGCAGGAACTGATGAGCACCAAGAATAAGATGCTGCTAGTTTTTAGTACTGAGAATAAGTGCAAACTCAGAATCTCCTGCAAGTACCACTAAGTTCCAAAACATCCTCTATATAAAAGAACCCCCCACCAGCATGTAACCCTCCTTTAGCCAACCACTAAATGAATGCCTTAGCACCGCTACTCTTAATGCACACAGTTTGCTGCTGACTTTTCAAAGCAAAAGATATTGGCAGTGAGCTCTAAGTTGCGAAAGCTACTGATCCGATGTATGTAAATCTAGACTAGGATGAAGACTTATCTAGTAACAGATCAGACGTATTTTATTAAGATCGAGATAAGAAGATAAACCAAGGAGCTAAAGCTGGTCACAGACACTAGAGGACGACTGGACACGTAGGCATTCTCTGACAGTCCTCATTGATCGATTCACAAACTAAACATTTGAAATGTAGCTCCAAGCATAAGAATGTGGTGGCTGCATTTTCTTTAAGACTCCCCCCCCTCCCCCCCTCATTTCCACCTGGTGATCCTGTCAGTAACACACTTCTTGTCATAGGGTGACAACACTCACTCTTACTAAAATAGAAAAAAAGAGATTGAGAACACAGAGTCCTCAATCTTTTTCTGTATCCCCTGTTATCAATGAACAGGAATCCTATATACTGAGTCTGTTCAGTCATAACATGAGGACAGAGTGTGTTTACTATAACTACAATCATGAACAGGAGGGGATGTAGATCATTTCCCATTCATTCATAATTGAGGATATAGTAAACATACCATGTCCTCAATTATCTACAAACACTCAGCGATCACTGACTGCTGCTTGCACCCGCTCTCCTCTGACACGCTGTCACAGGAGGCTGAGCGAGCGGTGCGGGAGGAGAGCTCAACCTCCTGTTGACAGCGCGGCCTGTCTTCACCCCCACACCGCTCTGCCGGACTGTGATGGGAAGATGAGCGCTGTGGGAGGAGAGACACCGGCCGCTCACAGCGCTCTCCTCCCGCAGCGTTCGGTCGGCTGTCACAGTTTCTCTCCTCCCCGCTGGGACACAGAGCAGCGCCAAGCGGTGAGGAAAGAAAGCAGGGATTCGCCGTTGTATTGGCAGGAAAATTGCAATTTTGCCGTTTAGCCAAAAGTGCCATTTTCTGTCCGAAATGTTTCGGCGGCCGATATATTGGTGCATCACCAGTATCTATGGAGTAGCAGCATTTTCACTCAAAAGTGTTAGGACTACAGAACACTTTCCCCTCTATTCATCTTCATAAAGTGGGTTTGTTCTGCCTCTACCATCTACGCATTGAAAGTGTGATTTCTGTAACTTACAGTTGCGAGATGGCAATAACTCACAATCTCAGTTGGCATCAATCTATAGGACACCTTGAAGATCGTTGAGTAGTTTAATCCAAAAACTGTGCAGATATTTAAAACAGCGAACATAGGATAGTTAAAAAAATTATGTGATCCACTCAGCAAAGGACATGCGGACTGGAACATAATGAAGAGGTGGAGCCATCTACACAGAGGAAAACCGAACTATGGGGAGGGGTGGAGACGAATACCAGAGACAGGAGAAACAAATAATGTTAAAGGCATATCACAAGGCACGTGTAACATGTCAGGTGTATTCTGCAGTCCACAGATCGCTGGGTACAATGTAACTGATAACTTCCTGTGCAGCAGTTATCAGCACACCAGATTTTTGGCAGTATCAACAGGTTTTTTCTTTTTTTTAACTTACTGAACACCTATAACAAAACTAGAGGTGCACCGAAATAGAAATGTAAAAACCGAAATAAAAAATATCGTCAGGCTGAAACCGAAAATGTTTTTTTTTTTTTTTTAGATTTTATTTATTTTTTATAAACTTGAAATAAATGTATTTATTAAAGTTTTTTTTACTTTTCTTTTAGGGGCTTTGGGGAAATATTAGGGGTCTAAAACAGGCCCCTGATATTTCCCTTTTAAAATAGAAGAGATTGAGAACACAAAGTCCTCAATCTCTTTTTCTGTATCCCCCGTTATCAAAGAACAGGAACGCTCAGTATAGAGGATTCCTGTTCATTGATAACAGAGTGTGTTTACTATAACCACAATCATGAATGGACAGGAGGTGATGTAGATCACTTCCCAATCATTCATGAGGAAATAACCATACCATGTCCTCAATTATCTACACTCAGCTATCACTGATCACTCGCTGCTTGTACCCGCTCTCCTCTCCGACAGCTGTCACAGAAGGCTGAGCGAGCGGAGGAGGGAGAAGAGCCCAGCCTCCTGTGACAGCGT